ATGTGGTGCCACAAATAGCATTTGTTCAACGACGCCAGCATTTTCTATCATCAACATTTTCTGCGTAAAAACGATCTGCTTTTCGAACAAGACACCATACTTCAACTGTAAATGTACAGTCCAAGAAAAATAAGTAATCAAAACAGAATGTAAACAAAGCACTCAAAACAGTCATTCGAAAGCAGTATCACTTAGTAAGATCCTACCTCAACGATACTTCCCACTGCTGTACGTTCAAGAAACGTTGGAAAAATGCCGGTTTTATTCTTTAACAACTCCTTTTGAAACTGCAAGAAACCTAGCTCATAAAAACAAACTGAATTTTCACGACTCTGTAACAACACGGTAGTACACAATCACCTGGGCAAAAGCTGACTCAAATTGTGCATGTGGCGACATTCCTGTGGACCAATAAGAACATGACAAAGGCCGAGGCACAATACTAGACGGACGACGTCGTTGGAGTCGGAGAAACTCTCCAAGATAAGTATATGTCTGCTAAAAACGACTGGATGGCAAAACATAATTTCAAGAGAGCTCTATGAAACTTGCTAAACTCACAAAATTCCCTTCGTTCCAATTCTCACAATCAATCATAGCCTCTACGGTTTCCATAGCCTGAACATCGAGCTGCTCTTCCTGAAAAATATCGGACCTATAGATTTCCAGGACTTGTGGGTTGAACTACTGTAGAAGTAAGACTAACATAACAACAAACATAATGAAACAATATGCTAGAAAGGGTAGATTATGTGCAAAAAAAGGCCAAAAGGAAAGAACAACGAAACTAATAAATATGTACCTGGAACACTGCTCGAAGTCGATTTAATGGATCAATTTGGGGCAGCTGATTAGCTAATCCCTTTGCGTAGTTCTCGAGATTACTGAACGACATAAGAATATAGTTGATAGAGCTGTTCCCTAAAAGAAATTTGTTCAATAAAGAAAAAGAAACTACTCGAAGCAGTCACGAAGTTCCTTGTCCAATCGCTCGACTCGTCGAAAATATGCATGCCACATTTCTTTTGACTGCGGAAGTGACTGAAATAAGTGACTGTGGAGACGCATCACTCGATTCCTAAGCTGGCGTAGAAGCACGAGACCTAAAATAATTAACTAGATAGCAAAGTAAATTCATCCTTTGCACAGTCTAAAAGACTAGAACTTACAATTGTTGCACTGCTGTAATACCCGTTCGTATTGCTGTGACGCTTGCGCATTGCTACTTCCCATTACGAATTTTGGACTAAGAAAATTGCCAGCATTGGAAACCTGAGGGAAATCAGTATCTGATAAACATGCAACTATTCCTATACTGAACCACGATTCGTTGCTTCACCGTAAAACGTATACATCACTTTGGTCAGCTTCACCAAGATCGGTTCACTTTACTACTGACAGAAAAATATGGTACAAAAGCTACGTCCCGCCAGAAAACGACCACTCTAGAGTGAAGCTCATAATTTATTCAATAAAATTCAAAATCACAGAACACCTGCTATCCAGTACAGAACAGGGTTATAGCTATTACAACACAGAAGTCTTGAATCAATAAGCCATGCGATATAATTTCTCAAGACTAAAATAAACAAGTAATTCGGATAAATAACGCAAATTTTTAGCTAAAACAACCGTACCGTATCGTTAACATGCGGTCAAAACAATAACAATCAGCTCTCATTTTTGAAAGGTACTTTTGGGATAAGTTTGGGGACAGGATGCAAAACTAAGAGAGACGGTCAAGCGGCCAGACTAAAACATAACCTTCTAGCTTAATTTCATGAAGAAAAACAGGAAACTAAGGGGAACATCTAAGTGAGGAATCAACGCGAGTATTTGGACTGATTGTCATTGCTACACAACGACCGCTGCTTAAACCTAGCCCTATACCACCCAACAATATATTTTTCTTAAAACAGAAATGACATGATCACATTAGGAAATGATAAAACAATGCGAATCGTTTGCAATTATCGACATATTTTGCAGAAAATGTCAACGACCGAGTACACATAAAAACAGTACGGGACATTTAACTCCCTTCACTTATTGTGCTGTTGGTGTTGTCTCCACACCTGGTATTATGGGATTTGCTTGGCCGCTGAATGGATCCACAGACTCTCCGGTGTCATCTTTAAACAAGAAATAGATCTATAGATGACAAAAAAAAAGTTCTACACTGGAATCATTCACGTAATTTAGCATTTTAACATTTTAAACCTTACTTCATGAATACAACTATTTTTATTACTACAACTAACATTACTACCCTTTCAACGGTGTACCGCCTCATCATGGCTTAGATGTGTTCCTGGGTGCCGGGATGCGATGTACAGCCGGAGTTCATACCCCCGGATCTCCCATGCTGAGGAGTCAGGCGTTTCCATCAGGATGTCTAGCCAAGAGTAAACCAATATCAGGATTGGCCACCGTCCTGGTATCAAAGTCGCATGGTGGCAAACCTCCCTCTGATCCACAAGAGCGGCAACTGCTTGTGCTGATGGCAGCCGGGATGAGACTTTAGCCAGACCGACCTCGGGATTCGAAGGAACCACAATGGCTTAAACCAGCAAATTTCCGATAAATGGTGATTATACTGGTGCCTGCACAACCAGTGAGAACGGGCCACCCAAATATCCCATTAAGCTTCGATGAATTTAGTTCTATGGATTCGAACTCGGATGTAGGAAGCATAAACGACTCGAAATTTGAAGACGAGGAAGGTCGCAGACGTCGTTCTGATTTTGAGACAATGTGAGGACATTGGGAGAAGCAAATAAAACCACAGCTGTTCGAGGGCTTTTAGAACTCATTATAAGGATCTGATATTTTTAGAGTTACTCATAAAAGGTCTAAAGGACGAGAAAACTCGATAAAGACAACTGTACGCAATGGCATCGCGTCGTATCACTGAGATGCGGTCATATTCGGCGCAACAAACGCAGCAAACTTTGAACTAGCTGTGCTATGAAATTCTGCCTCGTACAGCACAGTCAGCTAACCTCTCTCCTACCACTTCTTCAAACACCTCCATAACATCCTGTGCGGGAAATACTTCACAGACCAAGCGCGAGCCAAAAGTACTTCTGACTTTATTGCCTCCGGAAATCCAGGGTTTTAAGCAAACGAAATAAATAAATTTGTTTTCAGTGCATAAAAATCTACACAATCTAATGGCTTTTATTCAGAACAATAAAGTTTATTCTCAGCTGAAATATGCCACTCATTTTAGAAAAGGTTTAAATCGCGCATTAGTTTTCAAACCAATTAATAATTTAATAGGAAGACTTTGTTATTCTAAAACAGCTAGTTAAAAAAGCATGAAACCTATACGAACCAGGCATGCTAGGGATGAAACCAAATTTCGTTGGAAGCTGCATAGCTGGAACTGGTGCACAGGGCTGCGGAGCAGTCGCATCGTTTGTTGATGAAACGTCATTCAGCGGATTGAAATAGCGAGAACCTACAAACTTTAAATTAGAACCACTTCAGACACTTTGTTCTCGCTGGATTTACCCCCGCTAGTACGAGCAGCACGAAGACCGCCGGAGCTGGGCTGAGATTGCGACGTATCCATTTTCGGCGGAGGAGCAGAGACCGTTTCTTCTTCGACACCAGCTCCCACGTATCGACCTTTCACAGGATCCCACACGATCTATAAGCAATAAATTCGATAGCCTCTTCAGGATAGTTGGGATAAACTACCAATAGAACATGCAATTTCAACTCACTGTAGGCTGACTATCATCCGGCAAAATCATTTCATTGCCACTTGGAATTGCCTTCATAAGCTTTTCTTTCATATTCCCAAAAAACCCCTTCGAACCTTGTGTACCACTATTTTTCTAAACGAAGTAATGAAGAGATTACATAACGAAATAATTGATTACTATGAATAGAATACAAAGAAATTGGTTTAGATAGGTAGAACCTTAATATTTGAATCTGATATGCCATTTGTCTGTGCAGAGGAAATATCCTGCCAACCAGAATGAACCTGAGGCTGATAAAAGGGAGCTGCATGTGATGAAGAGACGGACTAAAAGTTACCCGAATAATGGAGACACCTAAGAATTGAAGATAAAAACTCGCCATTGGAACTTGAGAAATGTTTTGAAAAGCTTGTTGAGCCATCGGTAATTTCTCAGATTGGTGGTTCTGTAAATGCATTTGATGATTGAGGTATTTGTAAGAAATAAAAATCAAAGGATCACCAATGTGCGTATTGGTGTGCTCTCAGTTGTTGACTGAGCACTTATGTCATCGGAATTTGAAGATGGCTCAACCATACTCGCTTGTGCTTCGGCTCCTAAATGTGGAGGCACAGTTGAAGAGGCGTATAACTCAGCTGTTTGCGTCACAACAGCATCAGAACCCTAAAATTTCCAGACATCAATCATGCATGTCGGCCTATAGTCCTACCTATAAAGTGTAAAGTCTACTAAAATAAACTTCAATAAACCTACAGAACCATGCTGACCGGTATTACTTTCAATTCGTACATGGGAAGCATGACCTTGGCTTTCTTCAGCTTCAGCGCTTACAAAGGACGAATGTGGTGTTGCAGGACTCATTTGCAATGGATCTTGACGCTGAGCATGCCAGTCGCGAGCTTCCTCGGCAAGTGATTCCGAACGCGACCTAGATGACTTAATTGGAAAAGAAAACTATTTTTCAAACTTCCAAAACTAACCTTCGCGTTGATGAAAGCTCATGCTGCGAGGCATCACATTCCGTTATTTCCGCATTTACAGGTGCGTACTGATCAGTAGAAGTCTAAAATTTAACGACAAGTTCAAAGCAAAACAAGGGAATAATGTGGAGGGTTATTTGAGTATACCGGAAGAGAAGCCTGAGATGCAGGAGGAGGTTGCTGAACGTTGGCATAGCCGACATAAGGTATTTCGTTATGATGTAACTGCTGCTTTTGTTTGATCATTGCCCGCAAATCAGCAATCCACGCTGTTTCCCATTCACCAGCAGACGCGCTATATCGCAACCTAAGATGTATTCTGAGGCAAAGAGCTGAGAATATAAGGATGGCATGCGTCCAACCTATCAGCCAGATCACATAGATCGTTTAGCACGTCACTGGGAAACAAGTGGTAGTAATTCCATATTTCACGTGCGACCTCCACACAATATCTGCAAAAGGATCAAACAGCATTGAAATAGAAACCAACTAGATTACCAACCTAAACGCATCTGTTGCAAATCCTCCGAAATCTGCAATGAGATGAGCGTATTGCAGACGCTTCTGCTGATATTCAATGCACTCTCTAAGAGGTGAATAGGCACTATCATTCGAGAGTCGAATAGCATAGTCAAAAATCTCAGTAGCATGAAAATCAGCAAGGGAGAATCTGAACTCATGTGTTGCATTTGTCATAAGAACGAATAGAGTGACTAAGGTGACAAACCCTACCCATAACAACATTGTAGTGATTCTAAATCGTGCTCTGGAATACATGCATGTATCAAGGTTATATTTTGACGCGATTCACATTCAGCAGGCCTAAACGTCGGACATTAAGATTATTCAAGGCCATAAATGTAAATAACTTACAATGAAGAAGCTGGTTTGAACGGATTTACACCAGCTAGAACAGCAACCGCTAAGAAACAGAAATCTGCTGCACAATTGTAATCACGTTTAGCCAACGCTTTTCCAAGGTCATACACCTACACATAAAAAAGTCAAAATCAAGTAATGAAACAGTGACAGCAAAGGATAGTCGCTAACAGTTTCCATAGCTTCGGACGATGTCAGGTTAGCGAGAATAATAGCAGCATGGGTGCGCCAGTTATCAGAATCATCACCGGTTGGATTCATCTGAAAGATTGAGAAAACAAGTGCTACCATAAGAGAAAGAACGAAACAGAAAACTCACTAGAATGGGGACAAGCTTCTTACTGGACACGGAAAAGAGCGTCACTACTGGGTTACACTGCGGTCGAGTAGCAATAAAGCGTTCCTCAATTTCTGCCAATTTTGTGGTATCATGAGCCAATAATCGTCGAGCCAATACAATTGCGTCGGCATAAAGTCCATTTTTAAGCGCGCTGTCTATCGCTTCCTGTGAAAAAATTGGACTATGGATCAAATATACGTAATCATTTGTACTACTGAAACTCTAATGTTTATCTGGCTAATGCTATCCTAAACGCATCACCCAGCTATCGAAGGCACACCTAATACTATCATATTATAAAAACTATGCACATTAGTTGGCTTACTAATCAAACAGCAGCAGTAAAATACCGTTATGTGTCCTCCGAGAAGCAGCTCAGTGAATCGCTCATAAGCACGTGCATCCACAACAACGTTATTCTTAGCTGATCCATTAGCTGTCGATGTGCTATCAGCTGGCGATGCGCTTCTTTCACGATGTGAATTATTTTGTTGAGCAGACGAAACCGTTCGAGAGGAAATAGTGCTCGCTTCAACCAAAAGGCGTGCCAAATCTGGGCCCGTTACACGCTGAAGATAAAAATCGATTAGTCGACCACCACAATACTATGAAGTCATAAACTACCCCTTGTTGCTGCACAATAACACCAAGCGATTGCCATATCAATAAACAATCTATAACTTCGTCATAACGAGTATTATCAAATGCCAGGTTCCCACTTCGTATTCGTTTAATATGATGTTCAATATAAAGGCGCACGGAGTGTGCTGGTGTTTGGCCGACTAAGAGCGGACCTGAAGCAGAAAATTTTGACCTCGGAGAACATTTATCGTTTAGAAGGAAACCCGCCTTTGAATGACTGAGCACTGTCGATGAGCCTAACCGTGTGAGGGTCAGTAACTACCGTCTTAACGTCATCAATCTGCACCACAGATACAGAAGAATCCGGAATCACAGTTACCATCTTGCCTCCTGGGCCAAATGTGACGAAAGCGTGTGGTACTCGATGCTTTAGTGGAGCTAAGAACATCGGCAAGATGAAACCTTATTTTCATTTTAAAAAAAGCGACCAAATACCTCGTTGAGTAGAGTCGACACTCAATATATCCGATGTTCGGTCGTCATGATTATCTTCCATGCTTGCCCTTTCACTCATACTGAAAGTATCAAGATAACAAGATAGGTAAACAGTAACCCTCTAACCAGGACATAATTAACACAAAATATACAATAACGCCAAAAAGCCACCATCACTGGACCACAAATTACAAACTAATAGAAACCGAATTCAAGGACCACAAGTGATTTCGCAATATCTCCCTTGCGCGGTGGTTCGTGAGTTCGCGCAAGAGGAAATATGCATTGGTTTCATAGTATTATCGTTCTATTGTTTGTTCCCTTAGAGTCTTTCCATGTTCTTCTAACATCTACATGTCCAATATGTTCTTCTGTGTATGTTTCGATATTTTTGGACACATTTCGTGTGTGATAAAAAAACTTCCACTATCTAAGCAAAATGTTATTAGCTTTCCGCTTTGTTCTATATGATAGCTGAGATGAATTCCTCTGCCTTCGTGTTTTGTCTGTATCACCTGAATCACCTGTAGTCCCGTTGATCGTCGAGTGATTCGAGATCGTCTATTGAGGAGTTCATCATCCAGGCAAGAAGGATAAGGTACAACGTTATCAGTCTGACTAGAACGAGAAGCGCCGCCCATTCAATATCACCTATGACATAGGAAAAGAACTGCTCCTCGGAACAAGCGACAATAGAGGGATCTGTGGCGCCGGCGTTTTCGTCAACACGAGTTTGGCTTTGAATTTCGATTCATTAGAACAGCGAACAACTCGAATTAAACGTTTGCGATTGGAGAGATATAGATCAATACCGCCTTTGACAATCTTCGTCGTTTATGCACCGACATCAAATTGTGACGAAGTAGAAGTCGAAGCGATCCATTATGTGGACAAGACGTGCGCTTAATCTATGCTTTCAATGCTCAGTGGAGTTGCATGCATGACGCGTTCCTCAGAAATTCATCAACGTGGAGAATGTTATCCTTTTTATGGGGGGTTGTGATAGTACAGTAGTTCGTGATACCCCTCCACAACGCTCTGCACCGATCCATTTGGGACTACCTTAGCCCGGGTATGTCTAATAATGCAAGAAGAATAAATTCGATCAGATTCGTACGACATTTATAAAGAAGATGAAATCCTCAAGTAGCAGGCGAAACAGGACTCGAAATGTTCGGAGACCATTGTAGACGAGTAGTGTGAGGAAAATGAATAGAATGCGAGATGTGCTGGGGCCCTCGAAGTAGACTGTAATTACGGGTTATGTGAAATAGAAAAAATACTTTATTCCACTGTTCTTTATATTGGCGGTCAATTTGTGGCAAAAGTAGGGATACCTTTGCAGTTTATTATCGCTATAAGTAGGACGAAGACCGAGTTCAGGGAAACCTATGGTGCGAGGGAAACGAATCGAGGAGGATGGCTTTCCAGTTGTGGAGACCATCTCGTAAGAATGCCTAGTAGTACGGAATGACTTATTGTTTGACTATGTAGCTTCGCTGTGCATGTTGCACGGCCGAAAATCAATATAGGGTGACATTTATACTCGTTATTGCAGTTTTTAAAATTCTTTTTCGCCGCGATTTTCGACAAAACAGTCTACCTGTACCTCTTTAGTTACTGGTGGTTAATTGACGGTGCGTTCGCTAAGAACTTGGGAAAGCTCTACAGAAAAGACCATACATCATTCAAGGTAATCAACCACCTGTGTCACCTGTAATCCCGTTGATTGTCGAGTGACTCGAGCGGGCGCCAGTAAATCTTCCACTTTCCCTGTCGCTTGCAAGAGTAGCCCAGTGGGTTCTGCTCGCTCTAGAGACTCGTCGAACATCATTTCTTTCTTCAAAGCTCTTTGTCTAGAACTCTGGCCACCGGGCAGGTGGTCCTCCTACAGTGCGTTTGACATGCTGAGAAATCCACTAACGACTCTTGTCCATCGGTTGTCATTCATACTCATTACGTGTCCAGCCCTCCTTATCTTCGACTGTTTGGCGTACAAAACGGCATCTTTGATTTTTGATCGTTGATGGAGATCGGAGCTTCGAATTCCATTCCTTACTTGCGTGGAACGGAGTACTCCTAGCATCGTCCTTTCGACTGCGCATTCGATAACGCTGAGTGATCCTTCATACTGCTTACGTAGCGACCAGGTCTCTGACGCATACGTTATTGCAGGAAATACCGTTGAGTGGAAAACGTGGGCATGGAGTTGGACGTTTTTTCTTCTCTTCACTACGTCCTCGATGCTCTTGAAAGCTCCCCAAGCGTCACTAGTTTTGTATGTAGAGCTAACAATATCTAGTCATAGGCCAGTTACTGTATAAAATCTGTCTTCGACAAGCCTAAAAAGACTACAAAGGGTCTTGAAGGTGTTATGTGATCAAAAAATAATTTATCTACGTGAAAATATCGAAACAGAAGCAGCCTTGGTCAACCATGTGCACTAAATAGTTGTTATAATACAAAATGATTAACCATTTCACTACCCCGGCCATACTCACGTGGTTGACCTCTTCGACGGCGTATCACTAGAACGCGCTTCACGCGCGCATTGAAATCAAGATGCATGATCGTAGAAGGGATATATATATACGAACATAGCAAAACCTCAATATCCTTTTCTTTTGGACAATGAAGTAGGATAAATACAATGTCATTCAATAATTATTGATGCACCACAAAATTATAAATAGGAGTAGACCTGGTCCCCAGATATGAACCTTCGTGTCTAATTATAAAGGGCGATGAAAATCACCAATACTAATTAATGATCTGTATGCAATGGTGCCCACTGAACACATTTTAGAGAATATTTGTAAAATAGATGCTAATGCAATAGGGCGCATGTGGTGCAGTGGTCGGAGGCGCCCTGCAACACAAACATAGAATCGATTCCCGCGCCCATGGCCCACCAAGCCCTCCATCCCTCCGGAGTCGGCAAATTGGCTTCCAGACTTGTCTGAGAAGATAGCAGAAATGGCTCGACACACCGGTAGGCCAGCACGAGTCATTGTAAAGGCCAGATATGTATTCAATCACCTCCAAACGATGTTTAATGAAGTCGAGAGCATGGTGCATCCTTCAGGGATTGATCAATGCCGAGAGCTTTTAGCTTTTATGCAAATGCAATGAATAAAACATGAACCAGACATGGAAAGCTAGTCGTAACCCACCCATCAACGCTGTCCCGTTCGTCACTGAATAATTGCCGCTGACTGGCTTCATATGCCTTTTGGGACTCCTCTAACCTTTTCGAATGATACTCATCTTGCATTGACTTGCATATCTAAAGGAAATATTAAAAATCATGCTGAATCCTAGGAGAAGGGCATTCATCCACCTTCCACAATGCAATGTTATCGGAGTCGCCTTCACATGTGTACTTGTAATACTCGCGATTAAATTTACGATGGAAGTCGCCAATATCGTTGTACGGCTTTTTGTATACGGCCACATAAAAAAGATAAGCTGCTTTTTCAATGGGTGGTAACCGATGGTACGCCATAGGAGGTGGGAAGTGATGTAGAATTGATCGAACGCGAAACTAAAACAAGTAACATAAACTTCAAACATAACCGCAAACTTAAGCCACGGAAGCAGAAATATTTGTCCGAGTAAGCAAAATTACAATACTTACCTGATCAAGATGAATAGCGCCAAAATAGTACAATTCTTCCCCAACTGCTTGTCCGTCAAAACCCTCAACTGGACCATATTGACCCTACATGACACAAGCTGTGACCTCTCAGAAAAAACAGAAACTCGAAATACTAACCTTCTGCGTATACTTTCTCATCTCTTCTTCGCTATCTCCTCTTTCATCCGAGTCCGCTCCTTCAGAAACACTACTCTGTCCTTCATCATAAACATCGTAATTTGCATAACGCCCATTGTACTGTTGGAATCTAAAAAATTAAAATACTGAACTTGAAACATGGAACTTGTAAAAATAAACAATATCGACAATACAGAACTAAAGGAACGAAAACAGCATGGGATTAAGTTTAATGATTCCTAATCTAAGAATGGTCTTCATTGATGGTGTCCAAGGCTTACTTAGTTTGATACTTCGATGATCCGTCTTCATTGGTTGTGCGAGCCACAGCATGATCTCCATTTCTTCGGAGTTTTGCTGACTAAGCTATTGTTGTTTCCTGGAGTTCCTAGGTTAGCCTAGCTAAAGTCTGCCCCAGCTCGTCACCACCACAGGTAGTCGCAACCCTTGTGGATCAGAGGAAGACTTGCCGCTGTGCGACTTTGATACCAGGACGGTGGTGGATCTTGGTATTAGTTTACTCTTAGCTGATTTTGCCGATGGAAACGCCAGACTTCTTCTCAGCTTGGGAGAACCAGCTAGAGAGATGAATCCCCCGCTGTACATCGCAGCCCGACACCCAGGAACAATTCCCGGCCACGACGAGGCGATAAATAATTAGAAGAGTGTCCAAATCAAGGATTAACAACAAGAACAATTTATGAAAACCAAGCAATATAGAGTGAAAAATTAGCTTATTACCATATAGGTCATTAATTCAACAAATAAGAGTCCAAATACACCTCTCCATAGACCTTGGATCAAACGACGACCGTGGACGGCGTTGTTCCTTATACATGTGAGCCTGTTGAACATAATACTCTTGCGCATTAGTTGTGCCCATTGAGGTGTGAGCAGAACGACGGCCAGACGAATAATTCCTAAAGTTTACACGACTCATAAAAGTGCAAACTGACTCAACTATAGTGGCAAATCCTCATACCCTGTATAAGCCGATGGTGGAGGAATATAACCCCGAGTATCAAACTGTTCATGATGTCGACTATTCTCGTCATATTCGGATTTTGCACGACTATTTGGTCGACTTAGGCGAGATCGCCTCGACCTTAACATGGGTATTGCAAAAAAAAAACAAGGTTGAACTTAACCGTAGCTGTTTAACGTACCGCCTTGCTACATCCACAAAATCGTCGCCATAAATGGCTGGAGGATTTAATTCATATAACCGATTCATCGACGAACCATCATGTGAAAACATTGATACGTTTCCTTGAAATAGTGTGAAGTTTGCTAACGTATTCGCTAAAACAACTGCTTTATCTTTAAAGAAGCATTACACCACCTTCTTCGGCTTTCAAGTTAGGCAGTAGAGGACCGTCAACAGAGCGAACACGTGGCACGGAATTCTTTGCCACAGTCACTACTGACCGCCGTCCAAGGCTAAAACATATAATCAAAGTATGAATAAGAGGCGATATGGTACAAGAAAGAAATATCATTGAAGCTGGTACTTGGGTCCAACTTGCCAGGAAGACAATTTTAACGAGAAACCATTATCTCTGGTGCCTTTTATTGGATGCATCGGACCACGTCGCCCGCACCGTCTCGCCCTCACAGAAGAAGGCATTTGTAAAATAGGATGTCTTAAAATACAAAAGGAGTTGAATCACCACCAATTTGGCGAGGCTCAACCTAATGCGAATGATAAGCAACGCCTCACTCAGAGCTTACCGACGAGCGCAATACGGGCGACGTTGTATTCGGCTTTATATCAACACGAGATTTAGCTTACAGTATTTTTAACAACAGCATGTTAACATTTTTGTCATAAATACACATATCACATTCTGCATTGCTTTCTGGTATCACAAAGAAGACACGTGTTGTGCTTGATTGCTTGGCATCCGTGGAACGATGCAGACCTGTTAGACACGTTTGCCATCAGTGGGTTACCAGTCCGTGACGAAGATCGGAACTCGCTACGTGGTGGTTCACTTCTGTATTGATCCAAACGACCCATTATACCAGAAAAGCTGAAAGAAGCGTGCTCAGGTTTTCATATTATCTACGACTTGTAAAACCATAAAATTTCATACTGCTCCTTGAATATCCGGTAACGGCTCTGAACACTTCGCCGTTCGGGACCATTCCTCACAGAAGGTAAATTTGTTGTACGACTATTGTGGGCTGCAGCTGATGAAGCTATACAAGATTTCCTATTAGAACACAAACTATCCATAGTTTCTCGAGGTTCCCAGCTTTCCTCTTTCTGAGTTCCTGCTCTAAAACACAAGAAAAATATGTTATGTAGGCAACAGTGCTTAACTAGCACTCTCAGTGAATACCTCCCACCTGACGATAGAGTCGTCCCCATTGATAGGGGTACTTGTTGTCTTGACATCAAATAGACTAAGTGTACTATCATTCACTGCTGAAACGTCAGGAGTCACCCGTGTCACTGATACTTGTTCATTAAGCGGAACGCTGGCTTCCTGGAGAAGGGAAATAGAAACTGATAAATCAATTTCGTCAACCACTACTAGTTCAGTGGTAATAACTTCAGCAGTTGATGGAGAAGATTGGAATCGTGTGGAAACATTCACATCGTTAAGAGTACCTCCCTGAAAGACTCAATACCTTTATTCAGAGATAGAAAAGGCATACCTACAAACGCTCGCATTCCACACATGCCTCATTGGAAAGAACAGGGTTAAATGGAGTAAAAACCACACAACAACAAATACAGCTTGACAAGACAAGTGGGTGGAAAAACACACCGTAACTTCGTCAACTGGCACTCGCACTTGAGCATCATGAATTTGGGTTGAAAATTGAGCAGATAACACAGAGTCGGACTAAAAGATTTTGAATGGAGGAAAAAGCCCATAATATGAACAAATACGAAAAAAAATTTTGCACACCGAACCTCTGGTCGCAAAGGCGCAACCTGAGCAATGGCCGGTACATGGTCGTGGGATCGACAAGTTTCCTCTGAAGGTCATCATCATGATTGACAATGTAGTTTCAAATATATAATCGGCATAAAACAACAAATATATAAGAAGAAAAACAAACCCTAAACGTGAAATTCAGCACCTTTTGTGTTAAAAACTTATGTTGTAAGTTAAACCGTTACATCTTACATATGATATAAACTCATTTTCAGGGATCATAAACGGAATATCCGCAACATAAACTTCACGACATAGGACAATTACATCTACTAAGATTAAGAAGAAGTTCAATTACTACTATCATGAAAATTCCTCCAAACGGTTTACTTCCTCATCGTGGCTACGAGGTGTTCCTGCGTGTCGAACTGCGATGGACGACAGGGATTCATCCTTCCACCGCTCAGCAAGCTGAGGACTCTGGTGGTTCCATCAGGAAGCTCAACTAAGAGTAAACCAATACCAGGATCTACCACTGTCCTGGTAAAAAGTAGTCGCATGGTGGCAAATCTCCCTCTGATCCACAAGGGAGGCGACTGCGTATGATTGCGACGACCTGGGGCAGACTTTCGCCAAGCTGACCTCGGGACTTCAGGGAACTACAATGGCTAAACCAACAAAACTGCGAAAAAATGGAAATTATGTTAGGCTTGCACAACCAGTGAAGATGTGCCATCCAAGTGTCTAAGTAAGTATCATGAAGATTGGCACGAAGTTTTATGACACCTTCTTCAAATAAATCAGAGAGGAAAAACCTTTCAAGTAGTTATTTCGTAGTAGGAAAAAAAATGTTGGTGCAGTTTAAAAATCTTCGATATCCGACCAAGATAAACAAAAGTCCTACCTCTCACCTAAAAACTATGGAATTTTGTTACGTCCTTAATTAAACGAGACATTTCTTAATTATTGATAACACTTGGCATGAATTCCTTGACAAAAGAAACCTTGGAAACGCAATGCGGTTTCTGAATTACGAGCCGTTGAAGTTCCTCAGAAATAATCAGAGGAAATCGGTGATGATGTGTACGAAGGTGATGAAGTACAAAGAGAAGAAAGAAACGAATGCAAGTTAGCGAAGCATTTATGGCTACTATTCAATGGTAATGTAAAAATGTAGTCTAATCATAGCAACTCACCGTATCTTGGAACACCAACAACCGTTGTCGGTGAGGAAACTGACATCGAGGCCACATTTATTGCATTAGTACATACTTCACTGCTATTTGGTATAAAGTTGGTGTTCACTGAAGGTGCTACAGAGTTTGCTGCACCTAAACAGTCTGTAACAAACAGTTCGGGAAGAAATGAAACACCAGTAAAATCAACCGCATACATGGCGCATCGAAATTTGCAACGAAGTCACCTGGTTTCGACTGCAGTTGACTCGCAATGCCACTAGGAGTAACCTGAACTTCGGACTAGACATTCATAAAAAGATCGTCTCATCGTACGGAAACATGAATTCTAATAAAAAAAAAATCCATGACAAAAACTACTTGCATGACTTCGAAAGTAGAAAACACCACTCTGCCAAGAAACTATATATAAAGTATCTCCCATGAAACGCTACCTCTAGATGCTCGATGGGCAACCAATCGTTCCATTCAGTTATCTAGAGACCACTCCACTGTTAATGCATTCGGTGAAATCCAACTGAGGAATAATTTATACCTTGATCTAGCTGCTACGAATTACTGGATAACTATCTAGATCCAGATGTATAGATTAAGTACGAAGATTGAGGATCACTTGACTTCAGTCATCAATTTAAACAATGACATCTTAATCACATATCAATCGTACTCCCAAATAACACAACTTGGACGATTAAATGCAACGATCAATTACTGAACGCTGAGTGTATTTTTGGACGCCGTGCATCATATATCTACCATGTAGAGTGTTTCAGACTCCTGGCACCAACTCATTATTCCTGTGGAGATCCAAAAGTAACAGAACGTAAAGTGAATCGCTGTACCATGGAAAACATGTCCAACAAAGCGACTGAAGTGGCAAGAACTGCGGGCAAACCCAACGCAGAGCAAGCCAGTGATGATCTCCGCAGCTAATATAAGATGAAATGAAGCGAAGGTGATATGAGACCATTAGACGTCACAAACTATTTTCAGGCATGGATTTCACTCTCTATAGAGCTCTTTTTTAATATCCTGCAACAGTAAATAAACGTTTTAAACAGCAACTTTTTGAACAGTTATTTCACGAATACTTTCGCCTAATCGAATTGTACTACAACTAGAGTTTCACTCACAGCTAGCCGCTCTGTCGGTGTTGATGCCGCTAATAGGGGAAAGGATTATAAGGTACCAAAACAAAACCTGGATACTTCATAGTCCATAAAGCTCTAGAATTATCACGAACTCACATAAAACCATTACCGAGGTGGAAAAGGTACGGCAGAGGATTTAAAAAATGGATGTCAACTGAAAACTGCACTACCTACATTTAACTTCATTTTGATCGACAACAGTTGACTGCCTAGATGAAATGTCATAAGGTTTGCTATACAACAAATTCTCGAGGAACTACACAGCAAAGATGACGAATTAAACAAGGTCGCTCGAGCCTATTGACGCACTAAACGACGATCTATTTCATCACTCTCCTAACTCGTACTTTATAGCTTAAGAAGTCACTACAAAGAGGTATTTCTCAACGAAAAAAATGCTAGTACCACGCATAATGAGTCCGAAAATGTAGTCATATCCGGTAACCAGGTATGCTAGAAAAAGCTGCCATGGATACTGTAATGACAAGAAAAGGTGATTTCACTGTACTTATCTACTTGGATACTTAGATGGCCTGTCTTCACTGGGTTTACGGGCCCAAACATAATTTCCATTCTGGATACCTGCTGATTTAGCCGATATCATTATACATACATAGCGAAGCGGCTGTATAGCAGTGGTTAAGGGGGTGGGGGCTGCAATACACATGGGATCAATCCCGCACTACACAATAAACCCTGTATGTGAGGATAACACCTCGGACACGATACACCTTGGTAGGCCACTGCTAGTTATTTTAAAGGCCAGATATGCATTCAATCACCTCTAACGATGCTTAATGATGTCGCTCGCATGGCGTATCCTTCAGAAATTGATCAACGCCCACCGGTCTTTCTTTTATCCTCTTTAAATAATATACGTGTACATATATGCATATATATATATATATCCTCTCAACGGTTTACCGCCTCTGTGGTTGGGAAGTGCCTCCTAATTGTCGGACTGCAACGTATAACAGCGAGATTCGTCCCCACGGCAGGATCTCCCAAGCTAAGGAGTCTGGCGCTTCCATCAGGAAGCCTAGCTAAGAGTAAACCAATACCAGGATCCACCACTGTCCTGGTATAAAACTAGTCACATGGTGGCAAATCTCTGATCCACAAGGGCTGCGACTGCCCGCGGCGCTGACGACCCAGAGCAAACTTTGGCCTGGCTGACCTCGGGACTCCAAGTAACCACAGTGGCCAGACCAGCAAAACTCCGAAAAAACGCAAACAGCACAGCCAATGAACACGCGCCACTTAAGTATCCAAGTATATATGCATATAAATACACGAATATCTGCACAGTGACAACAGCCTTGATAACCTATGCACTGCAACCAGCGAAAATATCCACAAAAGAGTAAATTTTAGAATTTTAGACATAAATTGTAAAACGACAGCTCCGAAGTTGAAAAGCTCATGTTGGATAAGAACCTACTCAGACGTTTAATTTACCTCAGCTGGTCGCGACTGACTATTCATTTGTTGGGTACGATGAATTGTTGGAATTAGAACGTGCTGGATTCGCTCAGCGGGTACAGCTGCAGGAATCGGAAGTTTTGGAAGCCCTGACTTCTGTTCTTCCTGCCGAAAATGATGGTTTTATTGCTGGTGATTACGCTCATAGATAGTACTCAGCGATTAAATAGTTGATAAAAACATTAGAAATAGACATACATGATCAATTCCTGGACGATGCAATACGTCTCTGTACGAGGTAGTGGTTTTCACACAATTTTCTGTCGAAGCTTAAAAACTTAACATTAGAACCCTAAAAGCAACAAATACGTTGAAAATGGAAGCGAAATGGAAAATCGAAGCCCAGTTAAAAAAAAGACCATTATGTTCCCTATATGGATAGATGACATTTTGTGTCTCTTGCTGGTAAGTGCTCATTGCGACAGCCCCGTAAGGATCAGAGTAAGCAGAAGTAGATGAGTGATTCCTATTCTGCAAAGAAAAGAACATCGAATAACAATTTGATAGCATGAAAACCTTCATTTTTTTTTGGAATTTACTTTTACATGATCCTCTTCACGTCTACTGTGCGGATCCCAGCACTCCTCACATTCGATTCGTTTCCTCGCAACCATTTTCCACGAAGATCTTCCAACTTTTACGTGTGGCCTCGCCTACTTTTCGCTTGACGATTTTCATTTCATCTTGAATGTCGTAGAATGCTGGTCGAGCAAGTCTCCCTGGAGTCCTGAGATAGCAAGGCTGGAGCGTTCCCAATTAGACTGCAGTGAGTGCTTTTTTTTCCGGACCAATCTGGTACCAATTTTCCGACACCCAAGGGATGAGCGGTTTGGTTAGCCCAGGGCAGAATCGAACCAGCACCGTGCTCGTGATGATCGACATGACTACCACTGTGCTTTTTCACCCCATGAAAACCTTTACTGACGATAGCAATTATAAGAAGTAAACAACATACAGGAAGTTCCTCTACATGATGACTCCAGTGATACTCTTGTGGAGAAGAAACACTACCGAAATTGATACTGTCCCAATTACCGACTTGATTTTGTTGTGTGCCAGATGTCTCGCTCAATTGATGTTCTACATTCTAAACAGAAACAGCACAGTGTAACAAAGACAATTTCCCAAAAAAGGGCTATGGATGATGGAAATGAAATGAAAGTGAGACAGGTAAGAACCTGTGCACATGGTGTAGTCGAAACTGCATGCTGCCAAAACAACGACATACACCGTCGGAGTCGGCCAAGCTAGAATATAACGCAGTAATTGTTCCAAAAAACCGAAAGACGTGAATGTGGAGTATAAAAAATTGAAGAATAGAGGATAAAATGGAAGGATAAAGTTCTCGGCGTTGATCAATCCCTGAAGGAAGCGCCATATATTAGATTTCATTAAACATCGATAGAGGTGATTGAATGTATATCTGGCCTACACAACAACTTTTCGGTGACCTTTTAATTTATTAAACCAGTACTACCACCTTCCTACGTAAATGTGATATCAATTTACTGCCGCCATAGGGATGGAGGAGTTGGTGAATCTGCGGCGCAGGATCTAACCCATCTGTATATTGCAGGGAAACTCTAACCACTGCGCTACTTTCGTCCAAAAAATTGAACAAAACACGATAAAAATAAACAAATACGAGTAGAATTAAGATGAATGCAAAAAAGTCGGCTTTTTCAAGTGTACGTATTCTGTGCAATAAGCGATGACGTTAACCCGATTGTTTTACGGATGAAAGTACTAAAAAGAATTTATACCAGAGAAAATGTGAAAGTGAAGGGTCCAAGATGTACTATAGAAAGTAGTACACAATGCCGTGACATTGACCATTTAATACAAGGAACTATCCTGATTATCAAATGAAAGCATACGACGAAAAACCCAGGGGCAACAAGTGACACGAAAACAAATAACAAAGGAAAAACAGGAAGAAAAAACCAAATACAACCTAATGGGTCGGTCGCTAGCACTACACCTTCTTCACCTGTATCACCCTGATGAAAATCGTCTAGTGACCTACGTGGGCGCCAGCAAATTTCCCATTTGGCCTTGTCGCGAAGATGAGTAGCCCCATGAATTTTACACGCTCTAGGAGAGTGGTTGAGCATCACAGCTTTATTCCGGAGTTTACGTGAAGAATTCTCGCCACAGTCTCTTACAGTAATAGATATCAAAACAATAATGTCGAAAAACATAAGCGATCTTGATGTGGTTAATCCCGAAGTTTGGAACCTTGGCATCAGTTGGTGGATTGAAGTTAAATGTGAACGTAAAGCGAATTTGTTTTTGTCAAGAGCGTGAATGAATCCATAGAATGGACTTCATGTTTCTGCTGCATCAGACTGTTTCAAATTTTCCGTATAGATGTAGTTATAGTTATTTACACTTCTTTAAAAGTGCTTGAACGGAAAGTAGACAAGAGGAGAAACAGAGCTACCACACCCCACTCTCGAACGAAACAGCACTTTCGCGATACGCACGCTCTTGTGACAGGTGATACTTAAATGGTCTCTCGCAAAAAATAGTATTGACCACAGGAAAATTCCGGTTGAGTAGAACGTCGTGGGTTTCAAAGTTTTTTGCGTTTTCCTTAGATCATCAAGATTGACTTGTCAAAGTTTTGCAACATGGTTCCTCGCCTACGTCGGCGTGGACTAGCCGTCGTTTTGGAAAGACGTTTAGCGGCTTCTCACTAGATTCTTCACAAGACATCGATGATTCCGGATGGTCTTTAGTGGCTTTCAGGAACAATGGCTTATCACGAGAAGACGAGGAGGTGAACCATTAAGGTACATAATTTAGATTTACAAGTACTGCATGGGAATTAGATGAACCATACACCACCTATTTTCTATAAATAGATGTCGAACAGCAAGCAAAGCAACAAAATAAAATACGGAAGGGACAAACCAACATCAGATCAAGACTTTCGATCCTACCAGTGACAACTGGTATCGACCGAGTTGCGTCTACGCGCAAACACCGAGCGATAGCTCGATCGGCACACGTCAGTGTAGCGAATGGGGCGCGTTTAATGGTTGTGTGTTCATGTGTATACATATATCTGTGTATATACGTATTTGTGTATGTGTTTATAAGTATAAATGAATGTCTATGGTTTGTCTAAGCCCTATCTCTACGTCTCTAACAGTTAATATACTCTTTAAAATCACTTGTTGCAATGAAAAACACGCTATGCATGTCTAAATAGAATAGGCTAACACGTATTCTTCCATTGGTAAGCCTAACACGATGTTGATAAAAAGAAAACTTCGTTCGGCTAAAGTTTGTGCGCCTTCGTCCACCTCCGAGGAAGGTAAGAGGAAATCACGATATAAACATTGGTTCAATCCACCTCCCTAGGTTGATCGAACACTCCGTCCATTTGAGGTCACGGGTCACAAGGTTGACAGTAGACTTATCTTAGAGGCTAAAAACACTGACGTGACATATCGGTAAGCCTCAGAGAATCACTGTATAAGTTAAATTGGTATCCAGTAACCCCTGTGATGTCACAAATGGAGTCGAATTTATGTCGTATCTCTAAGCGACGAGCGCATGTAGTGCACTGGTTGGAGGCGCCGTGCAAAAACATGTCATCGTCCAAGCCCACCAAGCCCTCTATCCCTTCGGGTTCGGCAAATTGATACCAAACTTGTCAGCAAGGATAGTAGCACTGGCTCGATACATCGGTAGGCTACCGCAAGTCCTGGTAAAGGCCGGCCAGATATGCCTTTCGATTACCTCTAACGACGCTTAATGAACTCGAACGCATGGCGCATCCCTCAGGGATTGATCAACGCCCAGAGCTTTATCCTATTTACCTTTTATCTCTAAGAGATCCGACAAAATGAAAACTCATTAATTGACAATTTGATAAGTGGAACACGAGTAAATATTTACATACTCATTTCATTCGAGTACAGTAGAAATGAGCACTACAGTAATTTTCAGCATTCGAATTGAGCAAATCTTGGACAAAGCATGTCATCGATCTAATTGATCGACACCTGAATCCTTAATGGTAAGTTTCTCATCAATGCAAAGAACCACTAAACTTCCCTAAAATCGTTTAAGGTAGTTTTACGAATATGCATGGCACATAAACAGAACTAAAGCCCTATCATACAAAACAAAATGTTTACTATGAAGGAAATGAGGAAGAGTATTAAGCAAATAAATCCTATCTTATAGCATCCTGAATGAACAATATCAATCAGCAGTGTCCATTTGTACAAAAGGGCGGAGATGCATTGATTCCTACTCCCCGTTCGATCTACCTGGAGCGGGTAGTGTGTTCTATAGCAATCGGTACTTCGTTTGCAAAAACAAAGGCTTTCATCAGACCTTAGTAACAATAATGGGCAAGTTTCTGCATGGTTGAGCTGCGTGCATGTGACGCAATGATCGTAGGCGCTCTGCAATACACAAGAGATCGATCCCAGCGCCCAAGACAGCTTTCCATCCCTCCAGGGTCGAAAAATTGGTACGAAACTTGTCTGGAAGGATGGCGGCACTGGCTAGATACATCTGTGTGCCACCGCGAGTCATGGTAAAGGCCAGATATATATTAAATCATCATCCAACGATGCTTGATGAAGTCAAATGCATGGCGTATCACTCAGAGATTGATCAATACCCACAGCTTTTTCCTTTATCCTTTATGAATCAGCCGACAAGAGGTCAGGATAAAAGCTTCTTTCGGCTAACGTCGCTGCGTGACACATTGCTCGCAAAGGGTGGATCATACTGTAGGCCGAGGCCGATTAACATTCGCTGTACATAAAATGACAACGCCGAGTGGAGTTCCCATTACGTGTGGTGGTCCCTCCACTGGGTATCCGACTGGATTCAACGACGAACACACCGCGGGTACAACCATCTTGCGACCATCCATTCGCCGATTAAAAGCTTAAACCAACTTCGTGCCGGCTCAGTCATACACGAAATTATTGACTATTTTTACCGAAGTTCAGTTAAAAATAGTCCTTTAAAAT